TATACTTTGGAGTTTGGATGGAGTTACAGCGTATTATTTTATTGCCGATATTAACGACGAGTCTCCGAATTGGGTGATCGATGTGCACATGCGCGATGCAACTCTTCGCATATTTATCCATAAGTTACTATCACTGAATTATTCTAAATCATAGTTCTTGGTTGATTATTATAGTAATATTGTTATATTATTATAGTAGGCATTATACTACTTTTCCAATATAATATTATATTTAAACATAATATATGCTGATTTCATAATAAATATGCAAGAAGTTGCGTCGCGCATGCGCACATCGAATATACCTAATTCGGCGACTCGTCGTTGATATTGGCTAAGTTTTTTTGTATTGGTATAATACGCTGTATATCTACATAGTATAATGATCTAATGGTAAATTTAAAGCTTGTTTTCTTATTCGTGATAACTGTTTAACTGTGAACTTCAACTGAAAACAATATGACACGTTCTCTTTATCTTGTATTATTCTTCACTTTTCATCGTTGTGGTTGACTGTTGGAGCTTTGAGCGTAGTGTCGTAGAATTACTACATTAAAACATTATTTTAATACTATTTAGTATATACTATTCTAAAATTCTAATATCTTTTTTGTACAACTATAGGTACTTTTTTATTATGTTATGTTTGTGTGTATGACTTGTGCTACATTATATTTATAACGTTATAACTTATGGACTTCGGTAATAAATTCCGTTTTATGCAAAAATAAAGTAATACGAAAATATAGAAATGCAGAATGTTTTTATTAAATAAACCATAATCTTATCAAGCTCTTTCCATAACGTCATTTATGAACGTAATTTATAATTACAATAAAGATTTAGCTTGGATAATAATATTATTATGTTATGCTTTCCAGTTTCCATTGATTAAGTAGGTATATTTGGTCTCCAAATATCTTTAAATACCAATACGGTATAACGACATAAAATAAAGTTTGCCCCCCTCCCATAAAAATTGCCCAAGTTATGCCCATGATTATTCCCCCATAAGTAAAGCACATCTACCTACACCGATATAAGTGTATATAACATATATATTGGTAGGCATTGGTGGCGATATTAGGTCGGAGTGGATTGCTTGTCCCCTGAAATAATTCCTGAAATTGGACCATCAGTGATGTTGATAGATTTATATTTATTACATTTCACAATTCTAATTTATTTTTAGTTGTTACTTGATCTTTATTATTTGCCTATAACAGATTGACAGCAGGCGTGGATATAACGCCTTAGGTACCTGCTTAACATATATCAAGTATTACTTTAATTTTCAGTTTATTATTATAGTATTATTATTATATACTAATATACTATACTTAAAACATATTAGATTATATTACTTGTTGACATTTAGGAGTGATTGATATTCGAACATTTTTTCATCTAGCCCTTTTTTCATTTCTAGATCCTCGTCTGATTGACAGTTGAATAATAAATTATCCTTAATTTAGTCGAATTGCGACATAATTATAAAAATGACTGATAGAGGCGCCAAAATTAGTGCTTATTTCTTATATAGACTGATTATGTCAACAAAAACCTGGTTTACTTTATAAAATAAAACTTAACTTTTGTTAATGAATGAGTTCTATTTTTGATTATTCATAATTTTAAACAAACTTTCCAAGTTCTGACTAGCTTGCATAGCGTAACTGAATCAACCCTAATAATACGATACTTTTGTCTAAAAACTATACAATGCATGGTATGTACTTTTTTTTAAAACAATGTAACTGCGATAAAATTTATGTTGCCATAACCAGACATTAGTGTTGCGTGTATGCGAATAATGATGTTATGAACAAAATCAAATTATATTGATTCTACAGCTATATTATGGTGTACACGGTTTTCACACGCTTTATGAATAATCACCTGTATAATGTGTTCATTTTTGTATTCAGTAATGTACTAGCCACTAAGTATGTTGACTGTTCAAATTGTGTACTTTTGTTGAATATCCCCATCCGGTCCACATTTTAGTATTTTACTAGGTAAGTGAATGTGACAAAAACATTTAAAAGAGCAGCAAATGCAAATAGATCAGGGAAGTAGGAATAAATAGTTATAATGGCATCAGAAATTCTTCTAGTAAGAAATTTAAAAATGTCGGTCAATTGAAATTTCACGATTTATGTATACTGTATACACATTGATATTAGTAGATAATAGGTAGATTACTTGTTCAACTTATATTGTGCACAAGTTGGTAGGATACAAGAATATTACATGATATTATAATCTCTAATGCCATTATAGTGTGCATAATGCTGTACGTTAGGTAGTACACCGACATTATACACAACAATTTGGTTAAATGTCAAACATTTGTTTATAATATCAAACAAATGTATGACAAGTGATGTATGTATAAAAAAAATACAAAATAAATAAAAAGATGAAAATTATTAAATATTTTCAACTGTATTGTTACACAGTCACGAGATCGAAAAATAAAAACAAACAAAAAAAAAAAAAAATATAATAATAATAATAATAATAATAATAATCATAATAATAATAATAATAATAATAAAATTACAGTACAAAACACAGTAAAGAGTATAAACACAATTACATAAACAATATAATAAATATACAGCAATTGGATTTTTCAGTTGTCCGCACAAACACATAGATTACTACAAAATATGGTTCACAAGAGATTCTAAAATGGATATAGTACTAATAGTAGAGTAGTATCTTATTGGTAATAGGTCGAAATTATTGGCCGGTATAAATGTCAGCGTACAATTCATATTTATATAATATTATTCAGTTTTTTTTTTTTTGTTACAGGAAATATTTTATTTTTTTTATTTTATTTTTTAAAATATTTAATGTACGTAGGATGAAGACAAGGAGCAAATAAAAGAGATTTGGAAATGAAACGCATTCACAATCGCTATGTAGAAAGAATGCGCGCCAGAGACCTGAGCAGCAAACTATCGTCTTCGTGCGGAAAAAATGCAAATAATGGGACATTTAATCTAAAAGCAAATAAATAATATTTGTAAAATAATAATTTAAGTCGATAAGAAGTATGTACAGAATTATACATAGAATTACATATATATATATCTCATGTATAGATGTAAAAATCATAAATTATATTTATAATGTATATAATATAATATTCAGAAAAGATGTTTTATTAGCTATAATAAGAAAAAATAATATATGGAAAAGAAAAACATAAAAACCCACAAGATAAATCCTAAATGTAATGAAAAAGAAAAATATTAATTTAATGAAACTTGTACAAATAAATTACAGTAAAAAGTTGTCCTAAACATCTAAGAAAAATGACAAACAAAAAGGGAAATTTCAATTCTCTGGCAAAGTTTAATTGTCTATTCTTAAATGTAAATAACTGATGAACTTTACTTTAGCTAATTTCTTTAAATTTCAATATTTATAATTAAATCATTTTTAACTTAACAGAGCACACACTAAAACTTATTAAGGGTAAATTTTTTTCGATATAGGAATTTTTTTAATTTTTGCTTAAAACGAGTTTCTAAAAGAATTGATTTTATCAGTCTCCAATTCCCAAAAATCTTAATATTAATAAAATGATTATGATAATGGCGTACAACATTTACTTAATAATATTTTTTCACTCCAAATCTCTTCCTTTTATACAAAATAATATCTAATTAATTATAATAATAATAATAATACAATTATGTTTAGTTAATAGTAATATGCTAAATATGAAAAACAACAATTATTTTTCCTTGTGTTTTATTTTTAATTTACGTAACTTAAATATTTGAATGTGTGTATAAATACAATAAATACACTAATTATTTTTTATTATCATTATTTTTTTTTCCTTTTTTATAACTTTTTGTTTAGACACAACAAAGCAAGAATACTGGATCTGAATATTATAACAAAAATTATTGTATCCATAATAAGAAGAAAAACAACATTAAATTTTGCTAAATGTTTAATAACTGGCCATCGATAATTTCATTACCTACACTCAAAATATAAGAAGACCGAGGAACATATTTTACACTGTGACCACCAGAACACTAGTACACCACGCAAGCAACATTATCGCTCAATCCACGTAAATTGAATTAATTTGAATAATATGTCAAACAAATTACATAAACAAAAACCCAAAATCAATAGCACCGATTTTTTTTGTATACAAATAAAAAAGGGCGTTTTAAGATTTTATAAAGACAAATATAACAAGAAAACTATATTTAAAAAAAAAATAATAATAATAAATTAATAAATTAAAAAAAAATGTTTATCCTATTAATTACATTTTAAGTATTAATAATATGTAAATAACAATAGTAAATAAAAAAAATGTAAGAACTTCTATTGCTATTACTGCGTATACTTTTATATTGCAAATAGTTGAGGTTAAATGTTAAATATAACAATATATTGCAAAATGAAAATTCATAAAACATTTTTTAACAAAAGGTCTTAATATATACATAATATATATAAAAAACGTATGCAAAATTATACAAATATCGAATAAAAGTAAAAGATAAATGACTTATGGAAACACAATTGGTAGTCAAAATCTTTAAACATTGAACATAATTAAACATTATAATAGCTAATAGCTATTATTTGTCATACAATTTATAATAAAACATTGTAATTTGCTATAAAACACATTTAATAAGAAGCCCAAAGTATTATTGTTTAAACGGTATTCACTTGTGGCATCATGAGAACTAATATGTTCGTAAATATTCTAATTAGTATTTACAATAGTAAAATGTTTATGAACATAAATGTAATAAGTATGTATAAACATAAGTTATTTCCAATTGAGTATAATAATATATAACATGTATGGGGACATCGTATAGAAATCTGAAACAGTGTGAACGATGTTACACAAGACAGTGTTTCAGAATTTTTTTAAGAAGATATTGAAGAGAAAAGAGGGTTGGTGGTAACATAAACTGTACAACCTCTTTTTTTTAATGAAGTCACGAAGCTTGTTTGCCAACAATAACACCAGGTCTGGACGGCCGTACGGGACTGTTTGATGTTACCACCGTTGTACCCTGAGGAGTCTGAGAACCACTGTGGAACTGGAGGAAAGGGTTCATTTCCACCTATAAAAATACATTTATTTTAGCTTTGTACATCAATTTGCAAGTTTGAAAGCATGTTCCAAACGAAACTTACCTTCAACAATTTCTGATTGCTAGTTGCCGCGTGTTTGGTTAACGCAAGGGGTGCTTCCTGATGATCATCACTAAACAGGTGATCACCCTCTAGGTGTCTAATTGCTTCGACAATGGTCTCCAAATTTTGTCTGGAGGTACTGGTGAGGTAAACGCGCGCGGACGGCAGTACTTGCTGCTGCTGTGGGACTGGCTCATCTTTGACTGGATTCAATCGATCATCTTCAGGTGCATCAGTGAGCTCAGTCTTAACCAGAGCAGTATCTACTTCCGGCTCTCGCTGTATAACCAGATTGTCAGACTCGTTCACTTCGATAATCTCTATACCAGCTTCCTCCTCGCCGACCACACACTGAAATGTAAAAAAATTGTTTTAAAGCGACAAACTTTATAAAAAAAACAACAAATAAAACTTTATGATCCTCTTACCGTGTTTGTATTATGATGGTATTGGATCGTGGTCTGGGTGTTGTCCGTGGTAGTTTTTGGGTCCACAAACACTTCGCCTAAACGGGCTGAGTACACTTTAACTTGCTCTTCTAACTCGACACGTAGACTTTGCTCTCGCTCTAATTGCGCTCTTAACTCAGCTACCTCGTCGATCATCAGTCCTCCGTCTTCTAAACCTTAAAATATAAATTATTATTAATGAAAAAATGTCAAACAATGTAGTACATACATTTTATTTTTTGTATATTTTCTAGTTTTTTACAACAAAGCCCACGGTTAATACTCATTCGACTGCGCATTTCAACTGATTACGTATACATTATTTAGAAGGACCATAAGTGATAAAGTAAACAAATTAATCAGAAAAAAATGTTCATACAGATAAATTATAAAATATGTCAACTATATTATTTGCTTGCATCAATGAAAGATAATGAATCACAGATTAATTGGTTGTAACAAACTAGTACAGCATATAGGTCAATAAAATTTCTGCCAATCAAAGAATGTAATTATCTTCTTTGATGACAAAATAAAAACTAACAGAAATGTTTCGAACTAAAATGAAGTATTACCTCAATTAATTTTTTTTTTTAGTTATTTATGATAATTTCGGAAAGTACTGGGCATTTTTACTTTTGACCCCCTCCATCCTACGCCAAAGTTCAAACAAGATCCATAAAAAAACACTTTATTGTAAAACCGTAAATGGCTCCTCTCAGAATTTAAAAATAATATTATTTTAACATATTATCATGTCATTTTCTCCAAATAAAAATTTATGCTAACTTCCAAAAGAATATTACGAACAAACAATAATGTTTAAAATGTCTTGTCATGTGTCACTGAACCATGTCATGGGATATGGATTCAGTATAGGAGCTATACATTATATAAATAATAACACGAATAATTTAGTTCGAAATATTTAACTTAAAAATGTAATTTAATCGCTTTATAAGCAGTTATTTAAATGCACCAACATCAACTTCCTAGTTCCCGTTATTATGTGTCATAAATCAAAATGTAACCATACATAATATTATTATATATAAACATTAAACAAAATCGTAACCCTGACGTATAAAAGAGAATAAGCACAATACACCACGATTCAAAAATAACTGTATAAACAATTAATAAATAACGCAGTGTAATAGTTATTTAAAACACCCCCCTTTTTTTAATTTACTCGCTATATATTTGCACTTTTACTTAGTAATAATAAGAAATGATTTTGAATATCACCCAAAATGTAACCCTGAAACGTATCATGGTTTTGTTTAACTGTAAGCAAAAAAAACTTAAACGTATTAAATAATAACTATTTATCAGAGGACAACCTATTATTTATATTATGCTTTGGTAGGTAACTGTTTAAATTTTAAACGATTCGTAACTCCGTAAGATAAATTAATTTGAATCTATACTTTACAATATTATTGCAACTTTATTATCTTAAGCATAATTATTCGACAAACAATTTGAATTGTGGACAAAATCTAGAAATATGATTAATATTTACTAGAGAGATCAAAACGCATACAAATAAATTACTATACCAATGCCTGTAATTGCAGTTTCATATTTTCTGCTAAACACATTTCCACATACCACAAGAGTGGCAGAGCATTATAGATATACCTATTAATCTCTGATAGCCTGAATCCAAAAATACCTTAGTAAATTGGTTCGAATTCTAATTCATCTCAAAAAACCCACATTTTTTAACTTTCCTTTTGGGTCGCAACTTTGCAGATTCGTGTAATAAGTGTTAATATAGGTATATAGGTATATTTGAATTTTTTAACCAATTAGTAATTGTTTAAAATATGAAATTTTTGTAATTATATAAATGGCCAATATTGACAAGGCAAAAAAAATATTATTGATTAAGGACGGGTTTGAGCTAAACAGTAGACACAACCCGACAGCCACAATTTTTCAATTTTAATTTAGTTACATAATCGGCAATTTAACTATACTCATTAAACGATTTTCATAAGTCAAAATAATTAAATATTCAAATCGTGTACCTATATGTATTTGTTTTATTTTAATGCAACAAAAGCTGAAACTATGATTTTTAATTTTTTAATCCAAAAAATATAAATGTATACTTTCTGTGAGAGACATAAGTATAACAGCTAACACGTATCTAGCACAACAAATCGTAATCAATAAGTATTTATAACTTTAATTCATAAGCATGCATGATGATGATGTACCTACATATTTATAATTATAATATATTTATTATATAAAAATGCTGAGTGTATATACGTAGGTCAAGACTTATATTATATATTTTAATCTCGAATTTTATAACGAAACAGTATAGAAATAAAAAAAAAGTTTTTTACAAATCGAAAACCTTTAAGAACGAATTACAACAAACTGTTGTCCTATATAATATCGTATATTTTTTAAATGTATTTGTAAAAAATTCGACACTAACTTTTCAAAATAAATTGAAAAAATAAACCATAATCCTTAGAACATTTTTAAACATATTTTGTTGTACGTAGTAATAATAATTATTACAATAATTATCGTTCACAGCTACAGCTGCAAGCGAGTTCTTTTATTTACAGACACTGCGCACACAGCAATGACGGACATCTTTACACAACGGCCGTTGCTGTACAAATAAATAATTCGAATGTGTCCGTTTTATTATAACGACGAGTTACTCTATTTAAATTTATTTCAATATTGCGTAAAACATCATAATTTACTCGGCGCAGAGCACGAGGCAAAACGAATATTCCGAAAAAAAAATATTCATCACGTCGGAATGAAAAACGCCAACCGATCGGACACGCGATACAATATATTACAATATAATATTATAATATAAACATAATAATATCATAGTTAACCTACCCAGACAACGGAGACACGCTAAGCGCATCTGTCTCGTTCGTCGTTATATCAGGAACGGCATGATATAATATTATATTATTACAGGGGCGGTTCTTGACAAGTCCTAAAGGAGAGGGGAGGGCGAAAACATGTACATAAAATGCCACTATTTTCCGTCAATATTGCACGAGAATTAATTTTATGTGCTACAGTGCTACACACTTTATATTTAGATATTATGAAATTAATTTTATTTATCTTTTGACAGCTATATTATAGATATTAGAGCTACTACGTATTTACACATAGAACCGTCACTGTACTATTGAGATGACGGCGGAAGAGGTGGGGGTAACGAGGACGTTGCAAGTGCGAAGGCGGACATCGTTGAATGGTGAGTATGTGGGGGGGGGAAGGCTTGGTACCTCAAAAAATCAAACTTCCTAATTCCCCAGTCATCGGTTTTCTGAATTATTATTACAATAAGAATGAGAAAAACCAAATATTATTTTCCATTTTGTAAGTATTTGTATTTATATATTTATCAATTATCTCTTGATAGCCTATTATTAAGAGGACGCAACACCCGCATGCGTTGTCTCCGTATTACAAAATATGCTGAAGTGCACAACATGGCAAAAACTGTTTTGCGCGGGACAACTATGCTCTCTCTGTATTTATAGTAGAATTACCAAAATTCCACAACACATAAGGAAGAACTTTATCCGTGTCGCAGCCCTTTGGTTTTTTTGATAGCACTTACCAATCATTTTTAATAATTAATGGGATCAGGCACCAATTATTACCAAAATATTTGAAGAGGAGACAAAATATTTTTGAGATATTATATATTATCCTACCTGTAAATATTTTCAACGGAGACGACACAATACTACTACAAATTTAAAAATAATATATACAACAGTATATGTCTAAGAAAACGTAAGACGATGTAGCTTCCTGGTTACTATATTTTATAAAGAGAATATAACGTATTCTCAGAAATATTCTTTTCTTCAAGTATTGGAAAGGGTGTTTAAACACTATCTTTTCTTAACTTTGTTATGAGATTTTCCAATGTAAAATAGTATGGTTTTCGAGAAATGAGAATGCGTTTTTGTTGTGTTTTGTCGTATCAACTAAAACAAAACGTTATATTAATCTAGGGCGCCACTGTTTTTCTCAGTAATGTGTAATAATTAGGACAATAATATTATGCTATATTGCTCATTAGATATTATACGGAAACATTTTCTCCGACTATCCGAGTCTTCTAAAGACTTTTGTGTTATACTTCTTATTAAATTATTAAATTGTTTTCTTCAATTATTTGAGATTAGTGATAACTTATCATGTGAATAAGTGCGTAATTTAACTTAAGATAATATTAGCCACCCCTCTACCACCCTAAAAATCAACCAAACGTCAGCGGCCCTTTATGTGAGGGCGACGACTTAAATTAAGGAGGCGGCATGACCATGGTGATAAATGGTGATCGACGATGAGTAAGGAGCCTAAGGCGGTCATGACATGAACACCGTTAGAAAATACATAATATTGTATTATAATAATATTACCTGATGAGGTGCCGATCACTTGGATGTTATCGGGAGATAACGCACCGCTGCGATGATCACCGTCAACGTTCGTGTTCAAAATCACCACACCTAAACAAAACGGACAAAATAAATCATTACAATCATGGCACTCCACCGGGTCACATTCGGAATTATTGTTGTTTTGTTTCAGGGTTTTATGTATTCCATTATTGTTTTCTCGTTGGTCGGATGAATGGAATACCCATTACACGAGTACCGTACAAACGCACCGTACCTATACACTGCAGCCGCCGCGGGTCTGTAGCCTATCGTATAGGTATATTAAATAATAGGAAACGGCGGAAAACGAGAAAAACACAATAATACTCGGGGGAAAAAACGTAGAATAAAATATAATAACAATAAAAACACCTGGCTCACGCAGTGTCGTATAGTGGTATCCGTCCCTAGATCTCTCTCTCACCCCCTCCCACCCTCACCACTATTTATCTATCTATCTCTCTCTCGATTAGGTATATAATATCATATAAAATAATAATAAGCGAGATCCAACGCACGCACCAAAAGGGATAATGCCATTTTTTCCGTGTATAAACCTGCAAGTCCTGTGACACACCACACTGCAGCGTATGGAACAACGAGTGAGTGCGTGCGTGCAGCATCCGAATGACGGTACAATAATATTATACGCAATTTAAACGGCTAAGCGGCGGAAAAGAGAAGAATGTAAAAAAATATAAACGTATAATAACCGGCAGGTGCTGCCACCTTGCAGCTCGGCGGCGGTGACCCTCCCCTCCGCCCTCTGCACCACAACGAGCCAAAGCCTCCCGACCTCACCCCCCTCCCACGTTTCAGACGCCAAGCCGCGTACTCACCGGTGGAGTCGTCGATTTTGCGTTTCTTGTGCACGCTGGCCGTGCTCAACAGCTCGCCCTCTTGCTTGCTCACCAGCCGCTTCAGCTGGCAGTTTTGCGACAGAAGTCTCGTCTTCTCCTGTTCCAGCTGGTATATGTAGTCGGCCGTGTGCTGTAGGATTGCAGCCTGCAAAAATAATAAAAATATTGGATGAAAAAAAATTTATCAAGATTAACAATATATATATATACGGAGTTTAATTGATAGGTGACCCCTCACTGCGCTTTACAAACGATCTTGGAATGTGGCGGATCGCCACAAAGGTTTTAATGTAGAGCAAACAGAAGAACGGTTGATTCGAGTAATATCTATGTTTATTTACATTTTAATTACTGCGTAAAAGTTAGGTTAGGTTAGCCTAACCTAACCGTGTAAAGAATTCTACCCGAGAAACGGTTAGGTCAAGACTTGGGGTCTGGACTTATAATACAAGCAGCGACTTTAGGTCCAACGACCAACTCGGTCGGTTTACTGTACGGCACATGGCACATTTTGGTTTATATAAAAATAGGTACACATTGTTATATTATAACATGAGAGCGTTTTAGGTGTGGGGAGATGATGGACTTGGAATCGGTGCGTATTACTACTTACGTCCCATATTTTATTTAATAAGTAAGTTGTGTATAGTGATCCCTCACTACGATATATAACTATGCTGAGACAATGGGCGGGCTCGCACGTTTGGATATTAGAATAGGTTTGTTTGAAGAATGAGTATGGTTCGTTAATCGTTTTTGAGTTAGTACCTAATATCAATAATATTCAATATTGTATTTATTTAACATATACCTAGAATTTGAGGACAAAGTGTAATAAATTTGACCAAGAGTGTGTGGCTATGCGTATTACAAGCCAACGTCATATAATGTAAAAATTCCTTACACTTGTTATATAATATAAGCTCCAACGAATGCTGGGGATGAACCTCTATAGAGAGGCGGTGATGTTAGAACGCGACCCAACAACCAAACGAAGTATTGGACGCGTTAATACTGATTCCATAGCATATCAGGACGAGTATTTATATGGAGTATCGCATTACACGATAGGGAAAAGTAGTAAGTAGTAGGCGTCAAAGGAGACCAACCAGACGTTTTTGTACAAGATCAATCGTTGTGGCTCATAGAAAATACGACAATATCCCAAGGATTTATGAGTTGGTTGTTTTTGGCAGCTCTGTGATCTAACTTGCTTTTGTTGTTTAATTGTTAGTGTCGGATTCTATAGGAATCGATGAACGAGTTTGCCGTGAAAGTGTTTGTTACAGACGGGCTCGCGAAAGACGAGCGCCGGCGGCATATATTTTAATGGTTCCCAAATATTGTCGGCACCAGAGGTATCCGTATTATGTGTATTATTGTAGTCGGCTAAAATTTTTTATTTAGACTATAGAGTATTGTATATGCATATGTTTTTAAGTTTACATTTATCAATTTTTTGTTATAGCATTGTTGTTGACTGTTGTCAGCTGTTGGGTAGAAACTATAATACATAAATTAAAAAAATCTCGTCAATTGTTTTGGTAACGGATATAACCACTAGGTAATAGAAATTTGCCACTGGTAACGCTGATTTCAGCGATCACTTATCGTGAGCTCGACTTTAGTTGTATGCTAGGTACCTACATTGCTACAGTTATAACCTTGCATAAAGAAATATAGGAAAATGCTGATCATTATACTTAAACTAAATATTGCATAGACTATCTAGTCATTATGTACATGCAATTTCATTTGATTAGTAGGTATACACTTGTGACTTACGTATACATAGATTTAACAAATATGTACTAGAAATAAAAGTTAAGTTTACATTTTATATTCAAAATATTATGACGACCATGTTAATCTTATCTAATGACTGAAATATTTCTGTTGTAAAGCAACAATAATAATGTATATACAATTGATTTAACACTCTAATGTAACGAACGAATTAAATGTATACATATAAATGTATATATATTTTTAAACTTCACCAATATACATACTTTACAAAGTTACTTTAGGTACCTAGTTACTTCATACAGTTTCGAAAGAACACTTATTTTGTAATTGTTTCAATATGTTTTAATAATAAATCAATAATAAATTAACAACTATCGATTTATAATTACGAAGAATAAATTATATTATTTTACACACTGCCAACTCTAGATAACAATTTACAAATTACAACTAAATCACATGGTACGTGTGTAATTTAATAGTTGCTCGGCCCTAATATGTCATACAAGAATACAAGATTATTAAACATCACATCATGATACTATATAGGCAGTCTTTTATAGAAGCGTTTGATATAACTTTACACTGGCAGATCAATCGGGTATGAATAATAATAATAATAATAATATGTACTTTATAATTCAAAAACATTTTTTTATTTGTAATTATAATCGCGTAATAGTAATATTGATGCCGATATAAAAATTCGATTGTCATACCTATTACTCGGCCGTTGCCGGACACGCCGATAGCCCATTCAAGTTTTGCTTTTTGCCACCAACGGACGGAGGATAAAGTAATTATTTTAAATGAAACATCAAAACCTACAGTGCGTGAACTATTCTTTGATATAATATTTTATGGGTACACGGCTATTAAACTACATTATAATTAATTATGCACAACATTCCGTTTAAAAATAAAATATTCAAATATCGAAAAAAAAAATCCAATATAAATTGTACGCACGTAAACACTTAAAACTTCAAAGCTGTCTGGTGTGACATATTTTTTTTTTTTCATCCCACGTGCGCTTGGCTATTTCAGTCATAAATGGTGGTACTTTAACGTATAGTGAGTTTTAAACACACGGTTATTAAGTCAAGCGATTTTTAAACAAGAGCTGCATGTTAATATTACATTTTCCGGTTTATAGATTAATTTATTATAAGAGCATAATATGGTTGAAGGGTATTTTTCAAGGAGGGGTTTATCGGACATAAAAGACCGCACCCTACAAACATATAAACACACCGCACTCGAACGAATAGAGCATTAAACATTTTTTCAAACAAAATTATTTTGACAGCCTAACAACAATATAACGTTAAGAATATATCCTGCTCAGGGAATTCGAGAAAAGTTTTTTAAGTACTGAAAAAAATTCGACTTCAATATTGAAAAATGGACTTCCGCCGTCAACCGTTGGAAAAGGAAAAAACGCCTCGCCATTTAGGAAACTGCGATGAAAAGAAAAAAAAACGCCTATCCGGTTCCTCTCCAGCTCAAATCATTTTAAAAAAACCACTCGTAATATATGCGTAGTACATTGTATTATTATTTCATAATAATATTACACTATTGCCTTATTCGATCTAAAACCGTCTGGGAAAAGAAAACATTGCCGTTCATAGTGTACAATGCGTACGTGTATTATAATAATTATAATTAATAATATTACGATTGCCGGCATCGTTTATAGAGTGTAATATTTAATAAAATAATTGCCATAATAAATAACGGCCGAGACATCAATACCAATAATATTTATAATATTACCATTAAAATATATAACCGATTGCCGCGATTGGGTGTATAATATTAAATAAAATACCTTTTATAAATTATTATAATTATTACCATCCACGGCGGCACAATTACCTGTAATGCAACACAATCGTTGGCAGAGTGCATCGATAACAAACGGTCCGCCGCTATACAATTGCACATTTGACCCCGTTGGTTCAAATATCGACGATGTGATTTTTCCGCGGATTTTTCAATTATACGATGATTTTCACGTGTTCTCACGATTGAGCACGAAACTATGGTTTAGTAATTAAGACGCCGGCCACTTTTATCCACACGACTATTGGATATCGAACCTACACAAGTAACACCCCCCACCCCCGTGGGAAAATCCCACCGATAATCGTTTCCATATTGCCGATCGGTGACTAACAATCGAATACGTGGTTTTTAATTAGAAAACTATTCGTAGTTTGAATTAGTGTAATCAATAATAATTTATTTTTTAGGTCGACATGTTTTTCATTTATGGTTAGACGATGGTACGACTTTGGCCAAATTCCAACGACGTTGAATATTATGTTAAAAATAATAATCTAAAAATTCAGTACCTATATATTATTTTGTTTTAATTAGTGTAAGCAAGCGTGTATAGCAAGTGTACAATGTGTAATGTGTTGTTCATAATAACAATGGATTTATAAATAGATTTAGTATTACGTACAATTTAATAGAAAGTCAATAGAGTCGGACTTGCTTTAGTGATAACATGCTTTACTGATTTAGCAAGTACTGTTTCGTAAGCAGGACATTTTTTGGTTTCCGAAAATCTATATTATTCACAATTTTAATTACGTAAATAAGTACGCTGAACAGTATAATTTATTATATTATCATATCATAGTTGTAAAATCGCCCCTGTAAAATTTGTATAAGATCGGGGGGTTGCATACTTATCCCTTAAAATATACGCATTAAATATTATTTATAAGCTATGTCCCCTTTGAAGTAACAATTATATTGTCTCATAATAATTAATAATTAAAAATCAATATACCTAATAAAAGTAATCACCTGCTGTCAGCAATCTAATTCGTATTTTATCTTTTCTATCAAAGGTCTATATTGTAAAAGGTTACTTTCAAAAGACAACTTAATGCAATTACAGGAGCCTATAGATATAGTATATATGTTCAAATAATATAAATTGTCCATTATATTTTATTGGACATAATAATATGTTAATAAATAAAAAAATGTACGAAAATTAATAGATATTGAAGAAAAGGAGACTGTTAAATATTTAAAATTTCATTTTTATAATTTTACTACTAATTTAAATTATATTAAGTTAAAAAAGCTCATTGTATATATTTTATTTTTTGGTTTAGCCAAAATGGAAATCTAATTGGTGAAAAAGTTTGTTGATTACTACGAAATAATTCATTATAAATATTATAAAATAAATCTATAATCGTACCAGTTTTATTAACTAAAATATTAAAATATATTGTGTGCTTCCAATAATATCATATAATTATTTAGTTTTCATTAATTATAGACAATAATGAACACGACAGTAGCCGACAGCAATTTACAAAAATATACGATGGTTTTTTCCATTTTATAGGATGCATGAAGCATTGA